TCTGGGTGTGGAAGACCTACTCAAGAATTATTGTTAACTAGAGATGAAGATGGTGTGCTGTTCATTCTCCTGGAAAAGCTTTCCTGATATGAACTCAGCTGTTCTCACTGTAGGAGTTGTTTGGGTCCTCGCTGTCCCTAAGGTTCTTACCTTGAGCATTGCTTCCTGACTCCATACAGATCTCTCAGCCTGGTGGCTTAGATCCTTCATCCTATTGGTATAGACTTTCTAGTTTCCACCACTGACCTTTGGGCCTTCCAAGTGTAGATATTCTTGTGGACTCTAAACCCTAAGCTGGACTCATTGCAATGAGTCCATTGCAATGGACTCTAAGTCTTCAGCTGGACTCATGTAGGACATTGTTATGGGATCTAGGTCCTCAGGTGGATTCTTTGGGTCTCTAGTACATGGACAGATCTCTTACACTTTTCTGAAGTTGATTTTTTTGGGTGAATATTATAAAATAATCATATAAACTGTGTGTCCTGTATTAAATAAATTCTCTTGCAAACTCTGAATACTATAGAGTTAAACCCAGGAAATTCTAAGAGAGGAGAGGTGACCCAGGAGGAAGGCATAACATGGCGTGTCTCTTTGCAAAAGTCTGTATAGACAACTGAGGCTCAGCCCTGCCAGAAACTCAGGAAACTGTGGAATGTGTATCTGGGTCATCTGTCCAACTTGGGGGCCAAGAAGCTGGACTAGTTATACCTCAGATCCTATTCACTCTTATTGACATCAGGTTATAAAGACACTCAGTCTTCCATCAGTGATTGAAGCTGACCTTCCAGAGAAGAGTTGGGTGCCCTGGAAAAGGACACCATCACCACATTTTAACATGTAGGGAGATCAGCTTCCAAGCATGCTTTGTCTTTGTATCACACTGAACTACATTAATATGCATATTTCATGTATATAATCCAAATTAAAATATAATATTAAGAAAAGTGCAATGGTTTTCCCTCAGGTTTTTAATCTTGCTGTCCAGAATGAATGATACTCTACTTTATTTCATGTAAAGTTAGAATAAAGAAAAACACAGGGTGGATTCAGCTGAGTTCAGGGAGCTGCACAAAATCCACAGTTTCTCCTACCTCTAATTTCCAGGAGAAACCAAGAATATCTTTGAACAATGAATGAATGAAAATACTACCTATTTGGTATGCTTTGGTGGAAAAATGGTTTATAAAATTTTTTTGGAAAAAAATCTATGTATTATCTTTTTTAAAAAGGAAAGAAAGAAAAGGAATTGTAGAGAACAGTACATTTCCATCTATACCTAGGATAAAAGTCTCTCCTGCATATCTGCTGCTCCAAATCCAGCCCTAAGTGCCTGCTTCTTTTAGGAATCTGCCACCAAAGGAATTTCACCTGTCCCCATTCAATCCACAGATGCACAACACACAGGCCAGTAGGCCCCCTTCCCTGGCCCATGTCCACAGTAGACCTGAAAATTTTAGGTATAATGAATTCAAATAAATCGCTGGCCCCTCTGACCTCTATCTCATCTTCAAAATGACTAGATTTTTTTTTTGTCTTTTTCATTTTTATCGGTACTGGAGATCAAACTCATGACCGCCTGCTTGCAAGGCAGGTGCTTATGCCGCTGAGCTAAATCCCCAGCCCCCAAAATGACTAGATTTATATAAAATAATCTCAAACCTCCTCATTGGAGCATTTTACACTTTTAAAGCAACTGATTTCTGGTATTGACCATGAACTTATTGAAAAATGATTATCAAAAACAGCCAGCATGAGAGAGCAATCTCATGATGTTGGTTACTTGAACAGGACCAGCTCTCATTTAGGTAACATGTGTTCCTGTATACAGTGACACCTCTGTTGCCAAACTCAAATTATTCCAAATTTGTGTTCAAACACTTAAAAGTTTGAGAAGCGAGCGTGTTTTCCCCATAAGAAACAATGGAAGGACAAGTAAGTTCTGAGTCCCCCAAATTATATGATCGTGTATGACAGCAGTGCTTAGACGGAAGAAGCACCCCTTTGTGTCTACAATGAGACATGATGCCCACACAGTCAGACTTTCAGTTCAGCTAATGAGCAAAGCTAGGAACACCAAGCAGATTTTTCTCAAATTTTGCTGTTTGTGTAACAGAAAGTTTGAGCTCAGAGCTATTCCACAACCAAGGAATTACTGTACACATCTAAAATTCATATGTGAGTTCCTCAAAGGCTAGTCTGAAATGATACTTTTCCTCCTCTTCCCACAATTAAGGTTCTACATCGAGTTGTTGATAGCCAGAATGTCCATTACCAGGTTGTCGATGGAGAAAAACCAAATGAGTTTTAGTCTGTTTATAGATTTAGCTACTGTCCTGCTTAAAATGCATCAGGGCTGCCCACCATTCTTAAGGAAAATGTTTGTCTTTTGGGTTTTTTTTTTTTAAAGACTTTTGCTACCCTCTGGTCTCATCTTGAGTCATCTAGATATCAACTCTCCCATGCCAAAGCCTCTCAAAATATATTCTATGGGTGAGCTGCATTGGAAGCACCTGAGATGCATGTTTAAAATGAAAATCAGCTTTCCGATTGTGAGTCCCAGAATTCTGCATTTTGGCCACGTGCATCAGGTAATTCATAAGAACCTTGAAGTTTGAAAGTCACAGCTTCTGCTAGGCCACCCCAAACTCCTTTTAATGTCCTTACGAGCTGGCCCCGCTTTCCACCTGCATTTGTTGTCTATTGAAATGTAGAAATATGAAACAGATAACATTCATTATCTCGGGATTTCTAGTCCTGAGGGATTGGGGAGCAGCTTTGCTGGGTGGTCTGAACACCCGACATCATCTGAAGGAGCTGAGAGCCTACAGTTGGGCTCACACACCTTTGCAGGAAACTCTGGTTCCTTTTTAGGGTTATCCTTTCCCTAGAGCTGCTGATGTGACACTTCAGTTTGTTCCCCCAGAACAGTGAGTACCCCGGATGAAAGCCACAGTTCTCTTGATAACCCAATCTGAGAAGTAACCAGACCATTCCTTCTGCTACCATTCATTCAACAGAAATGAGTTACTAAATTCACACCACACTCAAGGGGAAGGAGATTAAACTCCACCTCTTGAAGGGAGGAGTGCTAAAGAATTGGAAGACTCATTTACATAACAATACATCCACACCCTCAGCATGCTTTTTTTGATGTGGGGGAGGTAAGTGTAATGCCTCCTGCCTGGCACATGCACACCAGGAGAAATTCTACTTACCTTTCAGGCACAGGTGGAAAGCAATACTTGCCCTAAAAGGATGAAGCCTGGATAGAATATAAAGGACAAAAAGAGGAATGTGGCCGTCGCTTGCTGCGTTGCTGTTTCCCTGCTTCCTGCCTGCCATGAACAGTTTCTCCTCTGCAGGCTCCTCTACCCTGCCTTGAAGCCAGCTGTGAACTTTACACCTCTACAAACTGTGAGCTACAGTAAGTTTTCTTCCTGTAATTTTGGGTGTTGGGTTATTTTGTTTCAGCAATGAAAAAAAGTAACTAAGACACACATCAATAAATGTGAGTTCTGGTTCCAACTGGGGTGGATTTCTGTGGTTGTTTGCCAGACACTGTGTCCTTCAGCAAGTGGTTACATTATGCTCTCCTTAGAGTTGCCAATTTCTTTCCTATGGACCTGGAGATTGAACTCATAGCCTCTGCCCTGAGCCATCCTCAATCCCCTTTCTAATTAATTTTTTATATTGAGACAGGGTGTCACTAAATCAATCTGGGCTTCCACTTGCGACCCTTCTGCTTCAGCCTCCATCAGGGCTGGGTTTACAGGTGTGTGTCTACACATACGGCTAAGCTGTCAACTTGAGGCTGATCCAAAGCAAGTATTATGTTTTGTGTGGTAGGTGTTGCTCTCCCCTCGGAGATCCAAGCTGGCTGGTGAGGAAAGTTGAGGCCTGGGAGAATAGTCCAGTTTCTCTGCTGGGTGAGCACAGGATGGTCTCCTAGCATAGGTCCTCCTCAGCTGAGAGCAGCTGAGCATCAAGGAAGCTAAGTGAACACACTAACAGTGTGCAGTCCTGTACACACAGCCCTCTAATTCCACAGACTGAACAAACTGTGGGTTGAAAAAGTACTGAATCCATACTAAATGTGTACATGCTGAACAGTTCAGAGTAACAACTATTTATATAGCATTTACATTGTTACTTTAGGTGAAAAAATAATCTAGAGATGACTTAAAGTCTATAGGAGGACTGCATAGGTATGCATATTCTGTACCATTTGACATAAGGATTGGAGTGTGTGCAGATTCTGGTACCCTTGGGGGTCGGGACTGAACCAAGGCATTGCTGTAATCTGAATGTTTGTGACTCCCCCAAAATACATATTCTAAAATCCTAACCTATTAGATGAGGGTATCAGGAGGGAAGGCCTTCACCAAGTGATCAGGTCATGGTGCAGAACTCTTCTGAAAAGGACTGATGTCCTTCTAAAAGGCCCTTGGGAGCTCATTAGGCCCTTTGATCTGCACAGGCAGCAAGATGGCGTCAACTGTGAATCAGGACGTGGGCCAGGACCTCAAATCTGCCAGTACCTTGATCTTAAACTTCACAGATTCTAGCTCTGTGAGAAACACATTTATGTTGTTTATAACCACAATAGTCTGTGGTTATAAACAGCTGCCAGAACAGGTGACAAAGGCTTTGCTACCTTGAGCCAAGTCAGAGGGCAAGGGAGGCAGAAGATCACACAAGTGCAACAGGACTTGAACCTCAACAAAGTCAAACAATCACATCAGGGAGGAAGCGTTGATCACTGGAGACATTTAAAAGAATGGCTTCGATCTCTATCTGTTGACTCTGGGGACATTCATTACGTCTTGCTAACTGAGAGAAGCAGAAGAAATATATTTTTTGCGATCCCATCTTTGCAATTACTTTTTAAATGAATACTTTATTTAACCATTTCTACCTTCAAGTCCAGGGATGTCATGTTCAAAAAGCTTTAAGCTTAAATTAAGAATTCTAATGATTTCCTTTTTTTTAATGTCAATTTTTTATTTTATTAGCACATGTTCACAGCACATTAAGCTTCATTCATTTAAGGGAGTAAGTACATGTACATCACACAGTGTCTTTTTTTAACCTCCTTTCCCTTCTCACCCACCTCCCTCCTTCCATCTTTAAATTCCCTTTCCCCAGGGTGTGCCAGGAAGAGAACAAGTCAGCATCTCTCGAGATCCAGCCATGTTGGAATTTGGGGGAGCTGAGCAAGAAAGCAAGGAGCCCTCCTCCCTGGTAAGTGGTGCGGGGAGCAAGCAGTGGGCACACCAGGGAGAAAACAAGTCAGGGTCTCCCGTGAGCCTACCAGTGTGGGCTGCGAATCAAACGTCCTGTATCCCCCCATCTCCTGTTAGCAACTGGATGGTGTCAAGGACAGCTGGAGTTCATAGTAACTAAGGCATTTATCCTTGTATTGTTGAGTTGATTATGCTGACCTGGGGCCAGAGGTCCGAGCATCCCTTAGGAGGATGACCCTGTGCAATATAGCAAATAAGGGGGATTTCCTTCTATCTTCTGTTTGAAGGCAAATATTGTTTCCACCATTGGCTTTGTTCTGATTGTTTTGCTCTATTCAATATTCTCTTCTGATAGGTTTTATAATGTTCTGTATTTGGTTTGATTTTGCTACACCTGATTGAATAGACAACTATTGTGAAGATAACAAGATATACTATGGTACCTGTTACTGTTATCCCGGTACCCTGCTCTGAAATTCTGTACCAGTTTCACTGCATTGTCTTGATTGGCTTTGTTCTGCCTTGTTCTGATGTATTTTACTACCTTCAAAATAAAAATAAATTCTTTTTCCCCATTTCCATGTTATTGTTATTATTTTAATACGTTTATGACATATAATATTTACATTTATTGCAAGTATTTGGTACCTATACATGATATCTCTCAAATCTTTTTATTTCCCCTTCCCTCACTCTCATTTTTCTGGAACCCTTCTCATTTGCAAAAGGTCTATTTCTTTGATTTCTTCTACCTCTCCTAGATTTTACTCTTTGTTTGTACTTTGCCTTATTAAAAATGGGAGATAAGATGTGTAAGTGTTTGTGACTGATGCTTCTCAAGCAATATTATATTTTCTAGGAGGATTTATTTCCCACCAAATGCCTGCACCAAGTCATTCCATTCTGTACGGACTTCACATTTTCTTCATTCACCCATCTGCTGAGGGGCATACAGACTCTTTCTAGTATTCAGCTGTTATGAATTGTGCTGCTATAAACACTGACATGCCCTGGTCCCCTTAATATGAAGTCTTTAGCTCTTTGGGGAAGAAATGAAATTTCTAATTTTAGTTTTTTGAGAACTCTCCATACTGATTTGCATAATGATCGTTACTAGTTTACATTGCTACCAACAATGTAGAAGGGTTTTCATTGCAACCATGCTAGCATTTGCTACTCTTTGCCTTCCTGATGACTGCCTTCTTTGTGGTGTGAGATGAGATCTTAACGCTGTTTTAATTTGCATTTCTCTAACGGTCAGAAATGTTGAACATTTTTAAAATCTGTTTGTTGGCCATCTGGATGTCGTCTGTATGTCTATCCAGTTCACTTGCCTATTTCTTGATTGGGTCTTGTATTTCAGGGTTGCTAATATCTTGAGTTCTTTATATAGTATATATCTAGCTATACATTCCTCCATCTAAGGAACATCTAGCAAAAAAATGTTCCTGTTCCATATATCGTCTCTTTATTGTTTCCTTTTCTGTGCAGAAGCTTTTTAATCCCATTTACTGCTCTTGCCATAATTGCTTATGCAATTGGAGTTCTAAAAGTCCTTACCTACATCTATGACCTCAAGTATTTTACATATTTTATCTTCCAGTAGATTCATGTTTCTGTTTAATGTTGAGATTGTTGGTCCATTTAGAGTTCAGTTTAGTGAATGGTGAAGATATTTGTCTTCGTTCTTCTGCAAATTGCCAATTTTCCCAGCATCGTTTGTTGAATAGGCTGGAAGAGACCCAGAATAACAGAAGCAATCCTAGGCAATAAAGGCAAAGTAGTAGGCATTATATTACCAGACTTCAAGTTATACTACAAAGCAACAGTGAAAAAAATGGCATGGTACTGGCACAGAAAGAAGTGTGTGAATTAGTGTAACAGAATAGAGGACAGAAAATATCTGTAGGCACATTCAGCTATTTGATCTTCAACAAAGGGGCCAAAAACCTACTGTGGAGAAAATAATTCTAATTACCATATTCTAGAAAGTCAATATTTATCTCAGTCAAATTTTTCTTTGGTTCAGAGAGGAAATACTTCAGACAGTGTTTACATGGATATAAGGGGTTATTTTAGTGTCTTAAGTCATTGAAATAATCTAATTGCAAATGCCTCCAATAGAAATGTGGAATGTTCTGTTAGGTGAGATAAAACAGGTTTCTCATTGCAATTGCACATTTGCTGTTATAGAAAACTAGTTCTTAAAATAAAAGGTTGCACAGTCATCAAATTTTTCAGTGATGCTGGTGGTATGCCTATGGCAGTGGCACAGGTGAGGTAGATGTGGTGGTGGAAATATGGTGATCATGCTGGTGGGGAGGATAGAGGCAATCAAGGCCACGGTAGTAGGCATGGAAGGACAGGTGGAAATGGAGATAGAAGTGTAATACTATGATGGGTTTACCCCCTGGTGAGTGTAACATCAATAGGCATCACCAGGAGATAACAGAGTATAAAAGGGTTTATTACCTGCATCAACCAAGGAAAGCACTAGGGATAAATCTCAAAGCAGTGCCCCCCAACAAAAGAAAATAAATAAACATTGGGAAACAACATACATATTTATTTAGGAAAGATTCATCATTGCACACAGAGGTGGGCATATTTCTGAGCATGCTCCATTCAAGATCATGTATTGCAGGTGTTAAAAAGTGGCAGAAGGGGCTGGGGATTTAGCTCAGGGGCATAAGTGCCTGCCTTGGAAGCAGGCAGTCATGAGTTCGATCCCCGGTACCAATAAAAAGACAAAAAGTGGCAGAAGAGGAGAGATTAGAGAAGATGGTGGCTTGCTAGGTTGCTGGGTGGACAGCTCTCTGGAGAAACAGTTCAGATGCTGGAATTTGATAACTTGGAGAGGGGTGGATGAGCGGAGAGGGACTCTCATGAACCCAGAAGGAAACTGAAGTGAAAAGAAAAATAGGAAGAGGAAGGAAAAACACAAATGGAGGGCTGGAGGCCAATGTGTGCACTGAGACCAGTCCATGCTATGCTGGGAGCACCATGGAGTCAGGTGACTCAAGGTCACGCTGAAGCCATGGCCACTGATAACGGGAATCGGTGAGTCCCGGGCCCTTGGCAGGAGGATACGGTGCAGCGTGGAGTGGAGCCAAGGTGGAGAACTACATTGATTCCCGGTGAGTGCTGAAGATTGGGTCCCGTGTTGGGTGTCCCTGGCTGGCGGACATCTTGGAGTGGGGCAGAGCCTGGTGCTGCAGTGGTGTCAATCAGCCATCCCTGGCCCAGAGAGGATTGGTAGGATCTGCTTGGGCTGAGCCATGCCCCTGATTGGGACCCAATAGCCAGGACCGAAACTGTCCTGACCCTGTGACGTCCACAAAGCACAGGCTAAGTCCCTGAAGGCACTTGTGGGTTGACTGGTTCAGAGGCTAGAGACTAGCCTGCATCATCCCTGCATGTACCTCAGATAACAGCAAATTGGAGAGGGCAGCAAAATCCCAGTCAGCACACTTCAGAAAAACCATAAGCAATATGGAGAGGGCCAGGGACCTCCACAACACACCTGTCTGAAAGAAACCAGAAACATGACAAGAGATAGAAATAAAAAAAAAAAAAAAAAAACCTCCAGCCTCTGGCACTGGGAAAATAACCCCAGGTAAATAACAGAAGAGAACCAGTGCAGTAATCATGCAATATTAGCCACAACATCATCAGACATAAAGAAATACCTTTGTGACCTCATAGATTAACTTAAAACTCAAATTCTAATCCAAGTGAGGCAAGATATAAAAAGATTAATTAAAGAAATGCTAAGCCCCTCTTAAGAAAACACAGATGGAAGAACAGAGGAACCCAGAAAAGGGAGAGAAACCTTTGATGAAGAATATAAACAAAACCTAGAATACAGGAAACAGATCCAAAGAGATTACAATGAAACTAAAAACTCCATTGAAAGCTGGTAAAATGCTTGGCAGAAACTAAAGTTAGCTTTTCAAAACTTGAAGAGAGATTTAGAATGTGTGATTGTGAAAGAAAAGATCTCTTAAAAATAATAAGGAACCAGGAAGAAACAATTCAAAGGCTAGAAGATGACAAGAGGATCTATAACTGAAGAATAAAAAACATGAGCAAAGAAGCAGGAGTAACCACAAATGAATTACAAAGACTATTCACAGAAATAATTAAGGAAAACTTCCCAAGCATAGGAAAAAGAAATGATGTCCAGATAAATGAGGCATAGAGAACTCCAGCCACCTACAACCAAAACATATCTACACCCAGACATAATAATCAAGATCCCAGAAATCCACCACAAGAACAGAATATTAAAAGCAGCCAGAGAAAAGAAGCAGATCATCTACAAAGGAAAAATAATCAAAATAACAACAGACGTATCAACACAAAGTCTCAAATCAAGAAGAGCCTGGGGAGGAAATAGTCCAAGCCCTGAAAGAAAATAACCTCCAACCCAGATTGATGTACCCTGAAAAACTCCCTCTCAAGATTAATGGATAAATAAGGTATCTCCAAGACAAGGAGGAACTGTGGGAGTACATGACCACCAATCCAACCCTACAAAAAATACTGAAGGACATTCTAGAGAGAAATAGAAAAAAATACCAGGATTCCAGCAACAGTGGCAGACAGGCCTCAATGAACGGGGCAGACAGTGGATTGAAGGAGTAAAGCAGACAAATAATAACAGAAAAATAGAATAGCAGAGATGAGGCAGAGAAGGTGGGCTATAATCTTTAATATAGATAGCCTTGATACACTAACAAAAAGAAACACAGGCAGAGTAGATTAGGAGGCAGGATACATTGAGATGTTCTGAATAGGAAATATACTCAACCTGAAAGAGAATTAATAAACTGAAAGTCAAAGATGAGAAAACAATGCTATATGTGACAGGAAACCAGAGAGAAATAAGAACAACTCGTCCAGCAGCCGTACATAGAGTGGAAAGCTATGACATTTTTGGACAGTGTAGAACTACACAGTTGGAAGGAAGGAAAACCTGTGGCTTTAGTAAGTAAAGGAGTACAGCTCAAGATCAAGCTCAGGGTAAAAATGTTCAGCAATACTCAGATAAATAACAGGTTGACCTCCTAATCTAAAAACTAAATGAGCTCGTGGGACCCAAAATATACAAAGCATCTTGAGAAGGGGAAAGGTGAGAAAATGCCTTAAAAAGGAAGGCAGAGGATATTGTTAATAGTGTATCAGGATTTAAAAGCCACAGTAGTCTTATCTCTCTGTTTAGTTTGATTTTATTTTGTTTCGGTCTGTCTACTCATATTAGATTTGAGGGCACAGACAGCTATCCCAAAATTGGCAGGTTATACCACGGTAACTATCCTTAATTTCCTATTAACTTAAACTGAAACCCTGTATTACTTACATTGTCTTACGATGACTGCTCTTATTTGAGCTGGTTTGTCAGACTGCTGTTTGGCCTTGACTGTTTTTATTCGAATTTGATATGCTTGATAGTATCAAGTCTACAAGTAGAGGCAACTACTCTGAAGATGACAAGATGTAAAAGATACCCATTCCGGTTTGATTATTAACTGCTTTCGAAGTCCTACAATGTCTCCAAAGTTGTATTTTTATTAAAATAGCTATGTAATGCTATGTTAAATTACATTATCTCAGATGATGTAGACAATTCTATTGAAAATAACAAGAGAAAGCATAGTAACTACTGTAGATCACCTAACGCGGTCTTATACGTCTTTTTCATTTCATGTGTTTATAGGAATATGTTTTGTTTTATCTTGCTTTGTTTTGTTCCTCCTTCTAATATAGAAAGGATAGAAATACATGTTAAGACTCATGCATGCATAGAACCAATAAACAGTTTATGAGAACTGATCTTATGACACATGATGAAATGAACAAATACTTTAAAGAAAAAGAAACACTACAGTACCCAGTGCTGATCCAGGGGTACCAAAATGTGAAACCCAGAAATACTATTATTCTTTGCTCAGAGTGATTTTTTGTTGAACAGAACTGGTTGCAGTCTCGCTGTTTGAAACCCCACTTTATATGCTTCATTTTCGTATCTTTGAATAACTATTTGTAAGAGGACAATATGTAAATATCAACTAGTGATTTCTTACTGTTTATTCTTTCTTTGAAAGTATGTATTATTTCTACCCATTTTCTTTTTTTTTTTTTTTTTAGTCTTTAAATAAAATTTTTTTTTAAAAAAGAGCAAAGGGAAGGAAAGGTGAAAAGTACTGTCAATTTATTGTCTCATCTTGAACTCTTGCATTGTTTACATAATTTTATTAGATTTGGCTTTGTTCTGTCTTTTGTTAGATTTTATGCTTTCAGATGGTAAGGGCAGCTATTTTGAATATAATAGGAAATATTATGGTAATCATGGTTTCCTATTATATTGTTTTGAAGTCTTATAATGCCTTCATTCATTGATCTGATTTTATTTGGTTTTGTTTGATTTTATTATGTGAGATGGTATGAATGCTATTTTGAAGAAAACAAGACATTATGGTAGCTATTGCTAATTTATTATCATCTTGTTTTGAAGTCCTACCATGCTTTTGTTCTTCTATTTCGATTGGTTCTATTCTGTTGTGTTTTATTTGATTTTATTATGTGTGATGTTATAGACAAATTTTTTTAGGAAAATGAGGTATTATAGCATCCATTGTTCATTTCCTGTTATTTGGTTTTGAAGTCCTATAATGCTTTCATTCTTTTGAATTTTTTTACTATATTGTTATGTTTGATATTACTGTGTGTGAAGGTATGCTCAACTATTTCAAATAAAAGAGACATTATGTTAGCTACTGTTGATGTCCAGTTGTTTTGTTGTGAAGTGCCGGGTTGCTTGTATTTTCCTATTCTGATTTGTTTTGTTTCATTCTATTTTCTTTTGTTCTCTTTAAAATAAAAAAAAAATCTAAAAAAAAAAGTGGCAGAAGAAAATGCCTCTGGGAGAGAATTAATATTACAATAAGCAAAGTTGACTCTAGGTCATCTAAAAAGAGTGCACTACGGTGACTGAAATTTTAGCTGGTGACATGTAAGTTTCTCTGGAAGGCTCTATCTGAAAAAGAATAATAAAAAAACTTCGAAGGAGGATTAAAAAGTCATCTAAAGGGGCAATAGCTTACCTAGCCCCCCATAAGCATAGGTGATTGCCCTCTAAATTACCTTCCTAGCAGCTAACAGAAGTGGTAAAGGTGGTGATGGTGGAGGGGGACACAGAGGTGGTGGAGGTGGTGGTACTGAAGGCAGCTGTCCTGGTGATGATGATCAAGACAGAGGTCGTGGTCCTGGTGATGTAGGTAGAGTTGTTGATGGTGGCAGTGGTGTGGAGGTAATGGTTATGCAGGGTGGAGGCTCCAGCCCTGGCAGTTTAGAGATGGAGATGGTGGTGATGGTGGGCTAGGCGTGAAGGTGCTGCGTGTGCCTGAGCTACCTACAAGGTCAAAAGGTACAAATTCTCACATTCTGGAAGTAGAACCCTAAAGAAGACCAGTTAGGACTCCTCAGCTCTACTAAATGACTTTGAAGCCCCAGATGCACTGTTATTCCAGACTGGCCAAGGCAGGCAACAGGAAACATCTTGTTGAATATCATGAATGTCTTTTCTAGGTCAAGAGAACTAAATATATCTCACGGATGAAGCAATGAGTGTTCCCAGTGGAATTTGTCTATAATCAAGAAAATAGGGAAGTTACTCAATAAATGCAAGATGGAGGTGGTTCAAATGTCTCCAAGATGAACGGGGAATTAATTAATAAATTAATTTGACTGTCCTGAGATCCGTACTGGGGGCAAAACTGGTATTCACCAGGAAGCAAAAATCAAATTTAGATTGCTCACCCCATCCCAAGAGTGGCTACTTCTGGTAGCAAATGTAATTTACTGTGCTTCTCCCAAAGACTTTATAGAAGATCTGTTGGCCCTTATAAATCTTTGCTTTGAGAAGCTGCACAGAACCCTACAGCTATGGTGGGTGGATCAAGGCAGCTATGAAGCATCTCTCTTGAATGAGATAGATGGTCTGAGCGACAGGCAACCATTAGAATACATGCATGAAATATGCAAATCTTTTGGGGGGCTTCCCAGAAGGCACTTGGAAACCTCCTTTTGTTCTCAGAATGGAGGTTCCTGTTCTTGGTATCAGAGTAGTAAAGGAGCATGATCAACCTGACTTTCGAGACTCAGGGTGTCTTGGACACTTTTAATTTAAGAAAACCAAAGTTACTTTCAACACATATCACTTACTTTTGCAATTATAAAAATTAATCAATAATAAGTATCAAAAGCTAGAAAAAGCAGTAAAAGGCAGGAGGGAGACAACCAAGGAAGGAGAGAGAGAAGGAAGAAGGACAGGATGAATCAGGAGAAAGCAGAAAAGAATGGGAGGAACTAGATGGATATAATCCAGAGAAGTAAGGAGATAAAGGGTGATGTTAATGGACCCCCACGCCCTAGAGAGCCTACAAAAATTTGGAAATGAAAGTTAAAAAAAAGCAGAAGTTGACTATTGTAGAGAAGAAATGGAGGACAGCCTGATCCTTTTGTTCTGGAGAACCAGGGAACTGAGGTGGGGCTCAGCTGGATGTTGAAGGCTTAGACCTGGCATCTGTCCCAGGATTAAAGAGGTCATTCAAGGGGCCTCAAGGTCTCCTTTGTAGCCACCCAGCTCAATATTCCAGGACAGAAAGGGAAGCAGAAAGTAATGGCCCTAGAACAGTGTGCGCTGCTCTAAGTGTTCACCGGAGTATAGAGTAAGATGCCCTCACCTGAAGCCCAGCCAAGCTAGGAAATCAACTCCATGGTGCTACAGAAACAAACATGTAAGCTGGGGCTGGATGTAACTAACGGCAGCTTTGTAGAAGTTTTTAAAACAACTCACTAGGCCACTAAAACTCGACTTGGCCAAAAACTCACCATGACCTCACTCTCTTTTATGAGCAGCTGTCCTGATACTAATCCTGCCTCCTTCCGTAATCCCCTTTTCATGAGATGACAGAGCAGGTCATGAGACTAAAGCAAACACACTCTCAAAGAGCCTCAGGTTTCTGCATAACATGTATCACAACTGTGCTTAGTAATGTACTTGCCTCACGTCCCCCACTGCCAAAATATAAACTTGAGTGCATCTCCCATGTCCATGACTGGGCACCAGGCATGCTGCATGGCACAAGCCAGCACTTGGTGCATGTTTTCTGGATTCCTGTCAGCATGCTGCAAATACCAGAACAAAAGAACAAGTTGGAGCTCTAAAGTTATGTCCCTTTGATAAAGGCCAGAAAAACCATGACTTGGAATTCCACCAGGTGAGTATGGATTTAAAAGAACAGAAAAACATCTTTTATGAGATTATGCCTCTAGCTCCTTCTATCTTTCTGACACACTACAAAGCAAGGCACGTAAAAGGTGCCTACTGAATACTGTATTTGAACCATACCGTCATGACTAGAAGGAATCTTCAGAGCAAGGCTATCTTTTCAGTGTTTCAAAATTTATACAAAAACCAAGTGCTTTTCCAGCCCCAGAACATTCAGAAAGAAACCTCTTCCCAGTGCATTTTGTTTTGGGCAATAGGACTTGCTCTCATAAATCATTTGCCTAATAAATACTTGAGCACCAAGCCTGTGCCAGGCATAGACTGGGCTTTGGGGAAGTGCCAGTGAATGTGGCCAGCCTTGTTGTCGAGGCTCACGGCATATTTAGCCTCAGGTCCAGGGGCACAGTGCAAAGTGGCTACATTAAGAGGGGTCTCTACTGAAGCTAACTCACTATTGACACTGGCACCAGCAGCCACCCATGGAACACATGTGCCCTGCTTGAACACCAGCAGGATTGTCACTGAGAAGGTCAAAAGTAGGGAAAGCAGCCTGCAGTTGGAGGTAAGGGGTCTGAGTCCCTGTCATGGTTTATGTCTGTGTCCCCCAGGCCTCATGAGTTTGCACTGTGCATTTGTGATGGTTCATTGTGTAGTGCTTGGATTGATGGTGTCAGTGCTCCACCCACAAAGGGGTGGAGCCAAGACGTGATGTAATGGCAGGAAGAAGGTGTGTCTTGCTCTTTGACGGTTCGGGATTGCTATTTGCAGCCGCCATGAATGGCAGCCCAGCCATGCCCGCCTGCCTGGGAGTCAACTGAGTGTGGACTGAAACCTCCAAAAAACTGTAAGAAATAAACCTTTCCTTTGCCAGCTTGGGCATCAGGTATTTTGTCTCAGCAATGAGCATAAAATAACTAAGACAGTCCCAATCCTAAAGGGGATCCCCTAATTCAAGAATAGTCAGCTAGGTAAGCATGACTCTTAAGTCTCTGGGCAGTAAAAAATGGACATGGACAAGCTCCAGGAGTGTGGGAGGAGAGCTGGATGCACTCAGGCCAACTTCCCTTCAGCCGTAACATGATGTTGTCCTAACTTAGCTCTTCACAAAAATCCTCCTGCGTGGCATATGTACAAAAGTGATCCCAGAGGTCACACTTTTAACTTTCCTGAACTATCATGGCTTCCTATTTTTTGTCTGCCAAAATTAATGTAATAGTCTACAATCGAATCTAAAGATGAGATAAATGGATACATCAATCCTTGCTGGGCTCCCCAGCAATTCTTGCTTTCTAGAAAGCATGGGTCAGGGAGGAATTTTTATTGATCCCAGAATATAGCAAGTGATAGAAGAGATAAGGTCTAAACACCAAGTTCAAAGTCTTTTTCATGCTGTTACCCAACACTTTGTGTCAACAGGGAGACAGATCCTCATCTTTATATTCTGCCTTGCCCCATGGAGCAATCAGGTATGGCCAGGGTCAAGAATGGGGTAGCAGTGGGGAGTATTCTTGCATGCCCTGCGGGCTCTGCATAACACATTACACAAAATGCTACATACATTCGAATGTCCAGTCCAGCCATGCCCTACTGGCTTGAGACATCATCCTGTCCAAGTACTACGTGACTGGTTGAGCCCTGGGGTTACTGGTAAGAGATGTAACCAGGCAGAAGGAGAAAAGAGAAAGAGTAAAATTTCCGTGATAACTTGGCCAACAGAAACTCAGCCCTGAGCTTCAGTTCAGGCTCTGACAACATCAGATCCCAGTAAATCTCCGGTCACTGTTTACCTCTTTCCAAACCCCTTCTCAGGCTGTCTGTTCTTATCTGGCACTGATAACATCCAGGCTCCGGCTCTTTGGCCTGGAAATGTGGAGATTCCTAGGATGGAAGGACTCAAGGACACATGATGCAGGTGGGCATGTTTGTGCTGACATCCTACAAAGCACTTTTACAATCTTTTCAAAGCCACCGTTGACACACGAGAAAAACTATAGTTTTCTACCCCAAGGAAGCATTATCAAGCTTAGCTGGGATCCCAGCTCAGGGGTCTGGACTTTGTCCTGTGCTGTATTCCCTGCTTCATGTTACTTCTCCACTACTCCAAATTACCAGGGATCAAAATCCCTGCCTCAGGGTTGTCATTTTGTTTTCCCTGTGCTTGTGAACTTATGTGGCATTTATTCCTCCTCCATAAGGATTTTCGGCTAACAAAATGAAGAGCAGGATTTGAGCTCATCCCAGTAAGGCTCTAAACTTACTGCTAATAAAGTCTACAACCTTTTCTTAAGTCCCACGCTAGCCCCCTGTTCCCAGTTTCAGGGCTCCAGGCCACCCTCAAACATCTAGCTTCCCCACACCTGCACCAGTGCCTTTGTTTATGCTGTTACCTCCATGAAGACTCCAGGAGCCTCTTATCTGTTGAGCAGCTTAATCCCCAACAAGATGTGCTTTCGGGCCACACCAGGGAGTTTGCAAAAATGTGGACCTGTTTGATGTCCTAATAGTCCTAGCCAGAGTGAGAATGACCAGCAGGCTCAGTCGGGAGTTGCTGAAGTTAAACATCAACTGTTCAAACATCCACCATGGAATCTGCAAATGGGTAAATACCATACTGTGTGAGGGGAGCCAAAGAATCTGCTCAAAACAGCTGCTCGATATGTGTTGCAGCAGAGCCTTAGTTACAGAGCAACACAGACAGGCTGACAAAATGCGTATTCTGGTATTTCATAAACCTATGACAGCAGAGAGACTTAATAGCTCTCTTGCCAAGTAGAAAATGCCATATGCAAAAGACATAAATAAGAAGAGGTTGGGGGGCTGTGGAATATCAGAGAAAGCCAATCCTCTCTCCAAGATGGAAGTTAAATATGTCCAAAGTAACCTGAGATTCTCCAGGCCTCTCCAGCTTGGATAGGCAGATGAGATTACACGAGAATAATCTGCATTCCACTCCACACATGCCCTGCCTGCTTGTGTCGGGGCACAGGCCCCAGCAAGGGCTCCGTGCCTATTTCAGGGTGCACCAGAGATGTCTCCCTGACTCTCAGGAACAAAGTTGTTCCTGCCAAATGCTCACTGGGCTCCACCAGACCTGGCTATTTCTTGTTAACTAGGGCAGTGGGACATATGAGATGGTGGGTTGTGAAGCCAATAAGCTGGCCCCTCACATTTTTTTAGTACTTCTGGGCCTTCCAGGATTTTAGGGAAAGAGCCCTGTCAAGTTAGAGCCTCACGGGTCCCCATGCCCATAGCACTCAGAAAGGTGTGTCTCAGGAGACAAATCTCAGCATCAGATAACATAGGTCACTTGGGATCATCCTCCTCCCCCAGTGACCATTAGTGTGTCCAGCTGGTCTTACCCAATTGTTTATCTCTGGAGAATTCTTTCCCAGCAGCCTCCTCAGTCCTTGTGTGAATATGGTCATGGTTGGCAGGACTCTTGCTGGCCAGACCAATTGGGTTCAGTTCCCCCATTTCAAAAGGAATTGTGCTTTTTCTCCTTAAATTTTCCTCAAAAGGCAATGTGTCTCTACTGGAGCCACAAAATGCAGACAATTTTCATCAGAACATAAGCTGTGAATGGTTTATGCTTGTGTTGTTTTAATAGGTTAAGAATTAGATTAACCTAAATAATGCTATACATAAACAATGATTTTAATCTGTAGTTCATACTTTTACAAAATCCATTAAATGCCTAGAAATTTTCAAGAAAAAAAGAGTGCAAACTTCAGTAAATTATTATACTGCCCTACCCTTGAAGGAACTGCTAGAAATAATCCAAATAATCCACAACTCTGTTAAATCTAACACTCTAAATGTATCATCCATACCTTCCAAATATATGTTAAGTATAAGTAACTATAAAGAGATAAAGGAGATTTCAAAGATCTTGGAGGAATTTATCACCTGCTTCCAGGTCTAGAAAAATCCCATAGACACAAAATATAACCAAGAGATTCACCAGGAAACACTTATTTTTTGTAAGAACTCATTCTGGCCAAGGGTTGGGAACCCAGGAACAGGTCCAGACCTCCTAATTTGTACAGCTGTCCCAACACAAATACACAAGAACCAGAGATAAGTTCTACAAAGTTATACCCATAACTGACTGTAAACATTTTCATAAGACTCTAGGATGGAAAATATGTATGGTGGGGGAAATATAATTTTTCAAATGACACATCTATTATTCCATCAGATCCTGTACACCTCTGCGGAGGAAGCTACATGGATATTAACTGCCTTGCAGTACAGAAACTCAGGCAAGGTCAGCCATGCTCAGCAGTTAAATACCACACACCAGACCAGCTGGGTTTCCATCCTGACAGAATCCTCATGTGTCTAAAGACAGCTTTCTGCTGGGAAATGGAGGACAGTTCGTCGTTGCTTGCTTTAGGACCAATTCAGAGTACGGGTGGGCCAATTATAGCAGTCATCTGACAAGTAACAGCTGGGGTCCAGCCAGGAACTCAGGGATCTCTCCCTCCCAACCAGCTCTGCTCCACAGGGCAAAGCTCAAAGAAGATTGGGGATGGGGGAGGGAGAGGTTGGACCTCCTCCATTTCTCAGCAGGGACCCCGCTACCATTTTGTAAGACCTCCAAGAGAAAAACACCTGGACACTAGGTTCAGGGGCCCTATGGAGCACCAATCCCCTGCTACGCTGATTGCTAAGCTATTTCTCTCTTCGCTTCAGAATTCATCCTTTTATCCTATGTTTGGAGATACTAGGTTTGAGATGCTGCAAGCCACATTTGAGCTTTATGCCCTGATACACACTGTCCCTAGGCGGTGCCACCAGAAGCGTTCATAGCTACAAGGAGAAGGAAGAGTCTCCTCGTCAGGTTGTTTGCTTCCCAACTGCATCCTGTTTGCCTTGTGTCTGCTTCCTGTCCCTATCAGCCTTCCCTACTGACCCTTTTTACTCACCCGGGCAGTGACAGCTCCTTCTACAAGCATCTGAATGCATTTTTTGATTTTTCCAGTACTCACAGGACCAGTATGACATGACCGCTCAGAAACACCTTGAGCTCTGCTTCTTAAGAGTTGGGATACCGTCCTTCAGAGGCACCCACCAGCCCCAGCTGGGCAGCATCCCCACTCCCTCCCCTGAGTCTGAGCTTCAGCCCACATGGCCCTTCTCCAAGCAGTCAACTTCTTTTACTGCCTCCACCACAGAACTTAAACTGTGAAGAAGCTTCTTGCAGGAGCTGTCCCTATTTATACCTTTGAATTTTCTTTCTGCCTTTCTCAGTTACCTGGTTAATAATTCTTCATATTAAATTATCTCTAGTAAAGTAACTAGTATGATTTCTGCCACCTTCCAGGATCTGGACTAATACTTCCACAGTTAGGTCTTTAGCATCTGAGGGAGAAAACTAGCAGATGTCACTGCTCGGCCCAACTGACTGCAGTGCTGAAGGAGGTACCCACCCACCCATGGCCCGCATTCTAGTGTGATTTCTCTCCACCAGCCTCTGGGTATTTTAGACTTACAGGACATGGTACAATTGTGGCAAATGGAGCTTAATAGCAGTACATTCTTCAGGGATGGCTGCAGGGACTCCTTGCTAGGCATTTGCATGTTTCTCCTTGCTGGACTGTAGTGAGCTGATAAGGAACCATCCTCATCATGGGCTTTCGGGAAAAAATGATCTTGTTAAAATCTGCTGTGGGCCTTTCTCTGGAATCGGGCTGTTTGTGCTTGGGTTCTGGGACAACTGTGGGACTCAAGGCAGAGTTAGGAGCCCAAATTGACAGCCTGGCATGTGACAGATCATCCTTCAGTCCTTCGCCAGAGGACATAGATGACTTTCTCCGTTTGAGCTGAGTAATGCTGGAAGGCTTGTTGGGCCTCAGTGCTGACTGGCTCTGCTGAGAAGCACGTGGGCATTGCAGTTCCTTTGGTTTGCTTTTCTCAATCAGTCTTTGCACCACTGGGGAGATGTATGTCACATAAGCAGGCCAAGGGTCATGTTCTTCAAGCAGGTTCAGGGCAAGTCCAATGTTTTCTGTGAATTCTGCCAGCAAGAACAAGTGTGGACAACTCAGATACACTCACATACACAGTAATTTACTTCTTCAAAGACTTGGGAGAAGGGTACTAGAGTCACATTTTGACATTTTCCTCATCACTGCTTCCTTGTAGTCAGTGAAAACATAACCTAATACAAAATCAGGAGACAGAATGATGATAGTCTACAGAGGATGGAGACTCTCAGTTAAACAACAGAACAGGAAATTTAGAATCAAATATTTGATTTGATTGGAGTCAGCTTCACTTTCAAATATTTGGATAGCCTCAAATTGTTTAACTCCTGCAGTTCTGTTTTCATCACTAAAATGGTAACTGAAATGTTATTACAAGGACAAAGTACAGTCATCTTTGATATTCATGGAGGATTGGTTCCAGGGCTCCCCACAGTTACCAAAATCTGCAGAATGGTGTAGTATTTGCATTAACGTATGCAGTCCTCCTATATATTTTAAATTATCTCTAAATTACTTATACTACCTAAAACAATGTAAATGGTACAAAAATCATTGTTATATTGTTTAAGGAATAATGACAAGAAAAAAATTTTAAGTATTTTGAATCAACGATTAGTTGAATCTGAGTAAGTGAAACTCCTAGAAAGACGGACTACAATACATTTCAAGGGCCTGGCACAGTATACTGCAGACTATCTATAGATTCTGTACTTAGCTCCATATTCCTATTTGTGTTAGCTTTCACTGTGGAACAACAAAATAGTTGAGAAAATCAACTTAAACTAAGAAATAGTTGTTCTGGCTCAGGGTTGGAGAGGTTTCAATTCACGATCAGTTGACTTCATTGCTATGTAAGGCAGAACAACATGGTAGCTAGCAAAGGTGACACAGAGACCATCCCCTGATGGCAGCCAGAAAAAAGAGAAAGAGCCAGACTCAGCGAGGAAAGAACCAGCAGCCAGGTGCAGTCCCCAAAGTTGTGTCCCCATGATCCACTCCCTTCCACAAACTCTACCGTCTAAGTTTCCTTCCCAATCATGGTATCCAATTGCAAATCTACTCACAGATTAACTCACTAGTGAGATTAGAATCCTCATGATCCAAAAGCTCACCAGCTGGCAACCAGGTGCCCAGGAGGCATGTTTTTAATCCAAACTGTAACACTGCTTCACCCCTTTCATAGCTGTAAACCTTGAGCATGTTTCTTAACACTTTTCAAAGTTGACGCCTCTGTAAAATACTGGTTAGCCCAAAAGCAACTTGGTAGAACTTCCCTATATACTAGAGATAATTTATGTAAATCTTTTAGCACCATGCATGACGTGTAGCAATCAGTAAATAGTCACTGTTAAACTTTTAGCTGTGTTTCATGATCCGTACTATTTCATTTATCCCTTATTACATCTTATAAAGTAGGCGTTACCCTCATGAACAGGATGATACTAGCTCACACAACTCTCGAGTAGTGGATTTGAACTCAAGGGTAACAGGCTCATAAACTCAGAAATTTCTCACTCTAGCTGTTGGCCAGGAGTTTTGGGTGTTGAGGGCAAGGAGGACTTCTGCTAGAAATTCTACCTATCCATTTACTTGGTCCTTTGCAGATACCAGACCATGGGCAGGTCATGATTCCTTCATTCAAGGACAGAAGGCAAGATGTGTGATATCACATTTCACTAGAAAAGTCTTGGCAAAACTTCTAAGCAGAAAACATAACTGTTCATTTTATCTGCTCAAAGCAAATGCAAAACTCTTGCAGGTGAGGGCACTCACATTACTCTGGCATAAGCAAACTGAAACTATTTGGAGCAAAATGAGCAGAAATTGCTTTCACCTCCTGAACACAGTGTTTCCTACTGCATCAAAGAAAGGCCATCCACAGAGCCTCGCCTCTTCCTGTTCTCAGTCCTCCAACCTGGTCAGACCCCACTGGGAACTTCTATCGTTAATAACCCTCAACCCCTAGCAGCTTCTGTCTTCAGCTTTCTTACATCATTCCTCTCATTCTTTTTTAGTTTTCTTCACATTGTAAGTCCAAATACCTTTAGAAAAATACAATTTGGAAGAAAGCAATTAGTAGCCATCTTGATGATCCTGAGTCCTGTGATCTGTTTAAGATGCTAAATTCATTCCACCTTGAAAAAAGAGGACAGGCCTGCCTCTGGAGAGGGGCCATATAGATCCTGAAAGCCTTCTGGAGCCTTCTGGAGCCTTCTGGAGCCTTCTGGAGCCTTCTGGAGCCTTCTGGTTTAGGTTTCCATGACCATCTCAGCAAGTGTTCTACTTTCTGGTCTCTTACACTTATGGTATGAATGCCAAGTTCCCACTCTCTGACCCGCACTTCCCCCTGGAACTGAGTCCAGGAGTGGCCAAGATGGGCAGCTGCCAGGAGCCAGCTACAAGGCCCCCATATACAAGACGAACATAAGGAAGTCCTAAGGCTCTCTGCTGCCATGCAGATGGGAAAATTGATGGAAACAATAGTCATTGGTTCTTGAACTTGCAGGTGCTTCTAGATGAAGGACTTATTAAAGCATAGAATACTTTTGAAGTCCCACCAAGCTTACGTTCTTCTGTCTCCATTGGTTTTATCATGTTTTATCTTATTGTATTTTATTATATATAATAGTATAAACAAAAAATTTTATACACAAGGAGATAATATAGTAACCATTGTTCATTTTCTGTTAATTGGTTCTGAATATCCTGTAATACTTTCATTCTCTTGAATGGTTTTCCACTGTCTTTTTATGGTTGATACTATAGTATATCAAGGTATACTCAAATATTTCAAGGAAAGAGACACTATGGTAGCTACTGTTATATCGGATTGTCTTGTGGTGAAACACTATGTTGCTAAATTGTTCTGTCCTGACCTGTATTGTTATGTCCTCTTTTATCTTAATCTTTTTTTTAATAAAATTTTTTAAAAAGCACAGAATACTGGCCCCCTTCTGGGGGTGGGGGGGTGAATCAACCACCACTGGCCTAATGGGAAAGAAAACTAAGAAATACTGCAAGGCTGCAAGGTTGTATAATTATCTACTTAGACACAAGGAACAAGACTGGGAAATGTATATAATACTTTCCCTGTTCTCAGACATGTGTTTTTATGCAAGGATTCATTATTTAATATACTCAGTTTTCCCATTTTTGTAGCCTTTAAACACTTAAAAGAGCTATGGAGCAATTCCATTGTTACCTGATGAAGCCTAGTGTAAAAGGCTGAAGATAGTTTCTAATATGTTCCCAGATGGTGGTCTACAGCCGTGCTTTTCAAATTTTAACAAGTACCAAAATCACTTGCAGAGCATATGAAAACAGAGATTTGGGTCCCAACCCTGTGTTGGTAAATCTTGTCAACTTGATTGGCTTTAGTGAGGGCTAGGAGATTAGCTTAGCACACTCCTTGGGGGAGATCTGGGTAGATCATGGGAATGTGACCTTGGGGACTGTATCTGGTCTTTGGGCCTTCTTCGTCTCAGGAACTTCTTTGCTGTCTCTGTTGCTGGCTACTATGAAAAGTAGTTTTCCTCTGCCGTGCCTTTCCACCATGATGTTTCTGCTCGGAGCCCATCAACAATGGACCGAAACCTCTGAATTTGTCAGCCAAAATAAAGTTTTCTCTCTTTAAGTTCTGTATGTCTGGAATTTTGTCTTAGCAATGAAAGCTGACTAATATGCATCCCTAGAGAGTCTGATTCAGTTGAGCAATTTTGGGGACTGAGAAATTGCTTCTTTTATCATCCCAAATAACAATGATGCTAGTGGTCCATGGCATAGGCTGAGTAGCCCTTGCTTGGCCTGAACAATGGTGCTGAGTCTTTCCTTGAGCAGCAACATAAGAAAAGGCTGAGTTTTTGTGCATGAAATAATTTCCTGAGCAAGCAATTTCAAGGTTTTTCAATCCCTTTTTTTCCTAAGCAAACAAAGATTCTGAAATGTAAGTGTGTCATTGGCAAGGGCAACCTTAAATTCCACTATTTTCCTAAGTTATCCACAGATCTCAACATTTTATTTTATTTTATTTTATTTTATTTTATTTTATTTTAACACACCTAACTAAAGATAGCATCATGGAGATTTGTTCGTCTTAAACAAGAGGGAAAAATACTAGTTTTCAAATTGATTTAGATCCAGAGATCCAGAAATGACTGCTGGCAGTTTTCCACAATAATCCATTTTTAAAAGAATTCGCAATATCCTTTTTCTAATGCTAGGAGAGAAATGCTAGAGTACAGACACTTTTATGGAATAAATTTTGAGTGAAATTTAAAGCATTGTATTTCTCTTCCTAAGACCTACAATAGGATCTCAAGATTTAAGATCATCCATTCCAAGTCCTCTCTAACAAAAGCATATCATTCAGGTGGCCACCCAAACTTTGCCTGTCTACTCTAATGAAAGAGGACTCTTAGCTTCCATATATGTAGAGCTATTAGAATTTGTCCTACTTTTCCACATATGCACAATAGGAATAAAAAATCATGCCAGATGGCCAAACACATTTTGAAGTGGTAATACCTATGGAATATTTAAGGAATCCAGAATCATTCTTTTTATTATTACTTCTGAGTTTCTGATTAATGAACCCATAGCATCATGAAGCCTTGTTACTAGTGAATAGTATCTCAAAACCAGTGTAACTCAGTGCCTATATCTCTCACTGGGTCCTTATATTTCTATCCCTGTGTGGCTGTGTTATGATTTAAAATATGAAGTATTGCTCAAAGACTCATGCATTGAATGCTTAATCCCCTAATGGGACCTAGAGAAGTGATCAGATCATGAGATACTAACTTCCTTAAACTCATTATGAGTTTGTAGCTGAATAGACTATAGAGTGGTGGGCCCAGATAATGGAAGTTTATCACTGGGAGCATTCCAGCCAAGGTTATTTCTGACCTCAGTCCTTTCCTCTCAGGTACCCTTCTCTTCTGCCTCTCCCGTCTCTGCTGATTCCTATCTCCCATCTCCTTTGCCTATTTCTCTCTCTCTCTTTCTCTCCTTTCTGGCTCCCATGATGTAA